TGTAAGCGTGAAATGCGGAATATTTGTGTTGATGATTGTGATATGATTTGAATGGTATTATAATGCTGGTGGTTGTTGGTTTTCTGTAAATATTAAAACTGTAGTGGTTTTGGTTTCTTGTTATTGTTAAATCTAAGAAGTTTATTTGTTTTTCATTTTCTTTTTCAATTGTAAATTTGAGGTTTGGGTGTTGTGAATTTATGTAGTTGTGGAAATCATTTAATTCTTGTTCTGTTCCTGTCCATATGCATATAATATCGTCTACATATCGTTTCCATGTTATGATATGTTTTTTAAAATTATTATTATATATTATTTTATTCTCTATATAATCTAGGAAAATGTTAGCTAATAGGCAGGCGTTTGGAGCACCCATTGGGAGACCATCTTGCATTTTATATATTTTGTTATTGAATGAGCAATATGTTTGATCTGTGGTATGTCGTATGATAGTCTTTAAATGATAACAATGAATCCACAACTACCCCAATTATACAGCCAACCGAAATTACATAAAAAGGACTACCCTATAAGACCTATAGTATCGTTCATAAACTCACCAACCTATTTATTAAACAAAATTACAATCCAAATAATAAATCAAATTGCAGACTTTAAACCAAAACACACCATAAAAAATACATCAGAACTAATAAATACACTAAGAGATATAAAACCAAATGAAAACCATCAACTAATCTCCTTTGATGTTACTAATTTATATACAAATATACCAGTTGAAGAAACATTGAACATCATTTTTAAACAATTAGAAGACAATATAAAAAACCAAGAAGAAATAACACACTTAAAGACTATCATACGACATACCACAGATCAAACATATTGCTCATTCAATAACAAAATATATAAAATGCAAGATGGTCTCCCAATGGGTGCTCCAAACGCCTGCTTATTAGCTAACATTTTCCTAGATTATATAGAGAATAAAATAATATATAATAATAATTTTAAAAAACATATCATAACATGGAAACGATATGTAGACGATATTATATGCATATGGACAGGAACAGAACAAGAATTAAATGATTTCCACAACTACATAAATTCACAACACCCAAACCTCAAATTTACAATTGAAAAAGAAAATGAAAAACAAATAAACTTCTTAGATTTAACAATAACAAGAAACCAAAACCACTACAGTTTTAATATTTACAGAAAACCAACAACCACCAGCATTATAATACCATTCAAATCATATCACAATCATCAACACAAATATTCCGCATTTCACGCTTACATAAACCGTCTTAATAAAATTCCACTATCAAAAGAAAACTATAATACAGAAATAAAAATATTGAAACAAATATGCCGAGAAAACGGATTTCCAGAAAACACCATAAACAAAATAAACAAGAAAATAACTTGGAAAAATCTTTTAAAAATAATTAATTTAGACAACAAAAAAGAAAAATATAAATATAGAAAAATTACATATCAAGGAAACATAACAAACGATCTTAACAAAATATTTATGAAATATAATATAAAACCTGCAATCAAAACCGAAAAAAACAATTTTTAATACATTAAACAACACAAAACAAAAGAACAGCATACTAACAAAAAATGGAGTATACAAATTAAAATGCAACGACTGTAACGCAACATATATCGGTGAAACAGGACGAAAATTCGAAACTAGGATCAAAGAACATCTCAAAAATCAAGACAAGAAGTCAAGCTTTGGGAACCATTTAATACAAAACAAACACACATTCACAGAAAAGAATTTCAAAGCACTACACATACAAGATAAAAACCATAAATTGACACTGTTGGAAGCGTATGAAATAAACAAAATAAAAAATAATAAAAATATAATAAGTCTAAACGAACAAGTTGATCTTAGATACAAACCTATATTTAAATACATCAAAAATAAAGAAGAAGAAGAAGAAAACATAACCTAATATAATTGTTTAAAATTACTTGATTGTCTACAAAGTTCTTCCAACTATATTATAATTTAAATGTTTATATTGTTCATGCTTAATATGTTTTATGTATAATGTATGGTTTTTATATATAATGTGTATAATTGTATTAATTGACGTGTAAGTAATATTCATATAGATAACCTAACAATAATATGTTTATTCAAATCATATATTTCAGTGAACTACTGATGATGCCATAACAGGCGAAACTAGTATAGTTTTGAAAATAAAAATAAAATTAACTGCAGAGAAGTGTAAGTCATTTCATTTCATAATAAAATATCATAATACTACTGCTTAAGAAAATGGAAAACATCATACAACAAAAATCAAAATGTAGCAAATTCCTCATCCTTCGGACCTTTTTTGCTACTCATGCTACAATCAGTATTTTAGAAAAAAGACAATCACCAACTGTTTTCTTCATCAATATTATTATTTACATAAAAGTAAAGAATTAAATAAAACTTTCATTTAAAAGCAATCTATGGTCAAATAATTTTTTTTAGAAAATACTTCACTATGTTGCAGATATGTTACACCATGCATTTGAACCAATACATGTAAAACAGTTTGTCTCCTGTAAGAGTTTCCGGAGCATTGCAAATTTGCTACGATGCATTTAAGGGATAAATCTTATATCTTGAATCTCAAATCTTATATCTTATATCTTATATCTTATATCTTATATCTTATATCTTATATCTTATATCTTATATCTTATATCTTATATCTTATATCTTATATCTTATATCTTATATCTTATATCTTATATCTTATATCTTATATCTTATATCTTATATCTTATATCTTATATCTTATATCTTATATCTTATATCTTATATCTTATATCTTATATCTTATATCTTATATCTTATATCTTATATCTTATATCTTATATCTTATATCTTATATCTTATATCTTAAAACTTATATCTTATATCTTATATCTTATATCTTAAAACTTATATCTTAAAACTTAAATCTTAAATCTTAAGTCTTAAATCCTTAATCTTAGATATTAGATCTTACATCTGAAATCTTTAAATCTTAAATATTCAATCTTCAAATCTTTAATCTTAAATATCTAATCTTTAATCTTAAATCTTAAACTTTAGCTAAAATTTATTTAAATCAAACGAAAAATTGTTATAGTTAGTTCTGGTTTATGATTTTGGTTTATTTAATGTAGGTATAATTTTTCTACTTAAAATTTATGTTAGATTCAAATTTAAATTTATACTTTTTGGCGTAAAAAATGCCCAAATAAGATTTGTTTTTATTTATTATACATGTCTTTCAATAAAAACTAACCACCCTTAATAACTTTTGCACGCACTCTGATATGTGTCTGAGCAGGTCGATTCAGATATCGAGGGGGAAATACAAATCCAGTTAAAATCCAGCCACCCTTACAACAATATTTTAAATGGCAGTCCATAAAAATATATATATATAAAAAACGGTTTTATTTGATTTGTTTCAATTTACCTTTAGCAGAGTTGTTACACATTTTGGTCAAAATAGTTGTATTGATATTAAACTACCTAAATATTAGAAAAATGGTGTATACTTTGGCAGAAACAACCGAATTTATTTTTATTTACAGATTTGATTTCTGTGCTCGTAGAACCGCACGCGTTTTTTTTATAAGAGGCATCCAGGAAAAAATGTAGGCCATTAATATGTCAGTAACCTAGTGAGAACATTTAGGGAAACTGGTTCACTGTGCAACAAAAAACACAAGATCGAGTGTACTGGATGAAGCTTCACAAATTGAAGTTCTCGGTCATTTTGCTGTGGGATCAACATCCATGCCAAAGTAGTTGCTTTATCAAATATTTCTGCCCCGTTCATAAGGTGCTAAAAATAAATATTTTTTTTCCTTATACAATTCAAGTCAGGGAAAATGACTACTAAAGAAGAATCCAGTTTTGTGAGGAAATGACGCAAAGAATTGCGGTTGCCCCCAATTTATTAAAAATATTTGTCGTCTTTTTTTCTAAATGCATTTGGGTCATTCCACGTTACTCAGGGATTTTTGTCCCGCCCGTCACAATTAAAAATTGTGAGTAAAAACTACACGTTATAAAATTTATTTAAAAATATTGTTTTATTATGCTTTTAATAAGTTATAAGCACAATAAAAATAATATTATAAAATATTAAATTTATAACTTGTGGTTTTTACTCACAATTTTTAATTGTGACGGGCGGGACAAAAATTACCGAGTAACGTGGAATGACCCATTTGTAAATAAATATAATTGTAGGTACTGGGACAATAATTATCCACATGTTTTTTGACAGGATCATACTTAGTATCCTCAAAAAATTGGATCGCTCTTTATCGAAGAAAACTTGACTGGACAATTATATCTTAATCTTCTTGAAAATGTTATAGACCCCACCAATTTCCCAGTCTCTAAAAAATATTTTTTCATTTCAATACAAAAATACAAAAATATTAAATAGTTTCTTGACACCAATATTTAAAAAGATTATATGAACGTTTGTACTGTTTTGCCGTAGTAGTAGAGTTAACTAGATTTAACTGATAACACGTTAACAATTTTGCGTACAGTTCGCATAAAACATTCTCTTCTCTTTTACTTAAAAAACTGCTTCTATATCTATTTTCAAGGGATAAATTTTAATTTAGAAATTTTGAGATAAAGTCTACAGGGCGTTAAAGCTTCTAACACCGGTAGATTCCCAAGTTAGAAATTCTTACGGAAATTTCCCGTGTAAATTTTTTTATTTATAGTCATAAAAATATTTTAAAGTATCAATAGTTGTTAAGTTTAATTAATATAATAACGGGCAATGTTAATGGTAAAAATTACATAAAAAATGTTTATTAGGATGGTTACTTTATATAGATATATTTATACAATTTTTTAATTAAAATTATTTTTTTGATAATATTTGGTATTTGTCGTAGAAAAAGTAAAGTATGCTACTCGTTTATAAACTTTTCTAGGCACTAATTTAATTAAGCATTGTGCCCAAATTAAATTCGTGACTAAAATGACGTTTATTAGACTATTAGTAAGGGTAGCGTGATGTGAGAGGGTGCAATATTTAGAATAACTTAAAAGTTATTTTGGGTGGCTAGTTCTTAATTGAAAGCCTTGTATATTAATTCAATTTAATCAGGGTGTAAACGAAAAAAAGTTAAACAATCCTTTTAAAACTTCAATTCATTACAAAATATTTTATAAAATCGAATTCAATTTGAACTTGTTTTTAAAAGAACGAACTTAAAAGTACGTTATTCTATTCCTAACTTTTTTAAAGACAATTTTAATTTTTTTCAACTTTAAATTATTTCAAAAGCAAAGTTTGCTTTAACTAAAGCTTTTTTATATTTGACACGTTGAAAATGTTTCTAAGGATTACGTTTTTGTTACAGATGCGGTCAAGAAACCCGAGTGATACCCCGTCTCCTTCAGCTCCGCTTCCACTGGCTAAAATCCGAGAAGGAATCGCTGCGCCTCGAGCAAGCCGGCATAACGAAGAACGTGCTCGACGCGGCCATAGCCGCCTTCACGTTGGAAATAATCGCGAAACACGGCGAACCCGCTCCCAGGCTGTGCAACAAGGACCCGTTGACCATCAAGATGGGCACCTACGTAATAGATCTGTTTCCGAACGCCAAGTTTATATTCATGGTGCGTGACGGGCGCGCGACCGCACACAGCATCATAACGCGCAAAGTGACAATTACCGGGTTCGATCTGACCAGTTACAGGCAGTGCATGAAAAAGTGGAACGGTGCCGTCGAGGCAATGAACAATCAGTGCCGCGAGCTGGGCTCGACGAGGTGCCTCAGGGTGCCGTACGAGCAGCTGGTGCTGCACCCGAAGGAGTGGATGGAAAAGGTGCTCAAGTTCCTCGACTTGGACTGGGACGATGCGGTTCTGCATCACGAGGACTTCATCAACAATGGCATCAGTTTGTCAAAGTAAGTTTTATTAAATTTGAATAAAATAGCCCAAAAATTTCTTCTTTGAATATATCGTATCTCGGGATTGCAATTTCTGGATCCCGCATCCAGCAATCCAGCTGGAACCAGCATTTTTGAGCACCCGGTGCTGGATCCAGCACTACCGATCCGCAAATAATTAACTTTCCAAATATTGGCGCAAAAGTCTACGTTGACAGCGTTGTCGCTTTGCTAGGTGCGCTAACTCCCAAACATCCGTCACGCTTGTGGCACGTACTATACCCCTTTCTACACCGCACTTTTCGCTCTCTCTTGATTTCATGCTAAATAAGCTAATAAGGGTTGTTTGTGGGTAATTTGACTGAATTTTAGTATTATAAACATTACATTACAGTAGTTACATTGGGAACAAGAAAAATACAAAACTTGTAATATTAGGTAATTATTATAAAAAAATAATAATCTTCATATTAATTTTGTTCCAGTAGAAATCAGTTTATTGTTCTACATATATTTAATTGTCCAGTAGATATAATTCATATTATGGGGGTTAATTTTGTTCAAGCTTTTAAAGTAAAAATCAGTTTATCGTTCTACCTACATATATTTAATTGTCCAGTAGATATAATTTATATTATGGGGTTTAAAAGAGAATAAATGTACTAAAAATTGAAATATACGAAATAATGCATTATTTTTCTTCATAAAAGTTTTTTACTCCTTTAAAAATAATATTTATTATTTATTTAGGTTTACATATTACTAATAGTAATTTACTATAGTATAGCTAGCTAATTTTTTAAAGGTTCTTTAAAAAATCCAGAGAAAAAGACGCCCAGAAGAAGTAAAAACTGCTCCACAATGTGGTTACTTTTAGTTTTAAATTAATTTTTGTGAAACGTTAAATAACAATATCCCGGCGCATTCGCCAAATTTAAAAGTGAAGTTTTAAAAATTGCGAATGCACCAGGATTAAAATAATAGTACATTCTGTAACAAGTTTGGAATACAGCATATTCCGCTCGAGGAAAAATTTGACACACGAGCCTAAGGCGAGTGTGGCGGTTTTACGAGAGTGGAATATGCTATGCCAAACGTGTTTCAGACATTATTTTCTCTACGACTACGTAAGAATAGTAACGCTTATATAATTTTAAACAGAAAAGAAACCAAGCAGTTTTTGACATTATGTTTTTTGTATTGTCAAACCATTTTGTGCCGTCACAATTTTATAATGTAAATTATAATAAATTTAAACAAATGGTATGCCTAAATCTTTATTATAATTAAAAATAGTTATTTACACTAACTAATAAAAAAATAACATTGTAACAAATACTAAACTAATTTTACAAGTAATCTATGTCAACATCTATTCTTTTTCTACATTTTAAAGGTCTTTTTTTTAACTTTTTGAATCTGTCAAAACTTCAAAGCCGGTATAGTAGGTAACTGGTTTATCATTTTAATATCAAATTTATTATAATTTTGATTTGTATATTTGAAAAACAATAAATATAACTAATTTTTTGTGCCTAAACCTTAATTATACAACTGCTATTATTTTTTAATTAATAAATAATACAGTAATATTTAAATATTTTTAAATTTTTTACGTTTAGTAAACAGCCAGGAGAAGTCGTTACTTGTGACAATTCTTAAACAAGAGTAGGAATATTCTCGCACTGTATTGCAGAAAAACATCCTTTTTATGATCAAAAATTACACTAGAATGTTACTATTCTTAAGTAGTCGTAGAGAAAAATTATTATATGAACGGGTAAGAACAATATCCCGGCGCATTCGCCAAATTTAAAAGTGAAGTTTTAAAAATGGCGAATGCACCAAGATTAAAATAAAAAATATTATATGAACGGGTAAGAAGCAAAAGGGTACAAGTGCAAAAAAAAGATGTTATTAACTTGTTTCAATGTTCAAACATCCAGAACTCGTAAAATTTTCACGTTATCTGAAAATTTAAAAAATATTTGACTTCAAACTACACAATTCTTCATTTATTTACAATCTAAAATGCACTTGTACCCTTTTGCTTCTCACCCCTTCATATGTGACCTGGAATAAAGACCTAGTGTGCGAAATTTCGTTTACAGGACAGAAAATGTGTGTATACCTAAAATATTGAGTTGAATTTTGTCATACTTTTCTACCAAAACCGAAAATTGGTTTTTTGACACACTAAGTCACATATGGGTAATTTTAGGCAAAATTATGGAAAAGTTAAGTAATGATTTTTTGTTTTTTTTTTGTTTTTGGCCAAAGTTATGTTATCTTAAAGTGTTAAGTATACTTAATAATATATTAAGTTCTTGATTAAAATGTTAAAATTTGAGGATAGAAAAATAAAAATACAGAGTAATGCATTTTTTAAATCAGAAGCGCGTTTTTTCTTATAATAATAGCATATTCTGTAACAAGTTTGGAATACGGCATATTACGCGAGTGAAAAGTTTCTCACACAAGTCGAAGGCGAGTTTGACGGTTTTACGAGAGCGGAATATGCAATTCCAAATGTGTTTCAGACTATACTTTTTCTACGTTTTCAAAAATATAACATAAAAAAATAATTTAATTGGGTGAAAGTGAGGTTGAATCGGTCTAAAAGTTGTTAGATATTAAACACATAGATGTCGCCACCAGTATTTATTCCTTCATCCAATGATAGAATAATTCATTCTAAAACACTTTTAGGAATGTATGTCATTCTAAATTAAAAAGTAATATTAGAACGGTCATATTCCGTAGTAGAAGTAGAAAAATATATTTTCTCTACGACTACTTAAGAATAGTAACATTCTAGTGTAATTTTTGATCATAGAAAGGATGTTTTTCTGCAATACTGTGCGAGAATATTCCTACTCTTGTTTAAGAATGGTCACAAGTAACGACATCTCCTGGCTGTTTACTAAACGTAAAAAATTTAAAAATATTTAAATATTAATGTATTATTTATTAATTAAAAAATAATAGCAGTTGTATAATTAAGGTTTAGGCACAAAAAATTAGTTATATTTATTGTTTTTCAAATATACAAATCAAAATTATAATAAATTTGATATTAAAATGATAAACCAGTTACCTACTATACCGGCTTTGAAGTTTTGACAGATTCAAAAAGTTTAAAAAATGACCTTTAAAATGTAGAAAAAGAATAGATTACTTGTAAAATTAGTTTTGTATTTGTTACAATGTTATTTTTTTTATTAGTTAGTGTAAATAACTATTTTTAATTATAATAAAGATTTAGGCATACCATTTGTTTAAATTTATTATAATTTACATTATAAAATTGTGACGGCACAAAATGGTTTGACAATACAAAAAACTTAAATGTCAAAAACTGCTTGGTTTCTTTTCTCTGTTTAAAATTATATAAGCGTTACTATTCTTACGTAGTCGTAGAGAAAATAATGTCTGAAACACGTTTGGAATACAGCATATTCCACTCTCGTAAAACCGTCACACTCGCCTTCGGCTCGTGTGTCAAATTTTTCCTCGAGCGGAATATGCTGTATTCCAAACTTGTTACAGAATGTACTATTTTCTACGCCTATTACGGAATACCTAGAAAAAGTATAAAACACGATTGGAATTGCTTATTCCGCTCTCGTAAAACCGTAAACTCGCCGGCTCGTGTGACAAATTACGAAGCGGAATATGCTGTATTCCAAACTTTTTACAGAATATACTATTATCTACTCCTATTGCATAATATTGTTTTTTTCGTGTATAATTAATTAAATTCCCTGCCTGACAACGTGAATAATGAATATTCATGTTGTTAGGCATCATTGATTGCCCGATTTCAATATTCACTGTGATTTAAACCAATTGGATTTTAAATTGGTAGGGAGCGACTATAAGAACATTTAAATTGGTAAAAAGTGATGTTAACCATTTGACAGATATCAGATTTTATTTAATTATTTTTTAAAATCAATTAAATTTTTTATTTACTGAAATAGATAATAATAATATACTATTATAAAAGTTAATAGGATTAACAAGAAATTCATATTTTTTACCGTCGCGACGCGTCGGTCTCCTCAAGAAGTGGCGTATCTAAAAAATTGAAATATTGGTAACGCCGGCTTTATACATAATTTTAGACGTTATTTTGAGTAACGAAGTGGAGAAAGTAAATAGAGTACAATAAAAAAATAAAATAAAATTATTTTTCTTATTTAGGGCTTTAGAATAAAAAGAATTCAAGACGTATTCAATGAGCAGGGCCGTGCGCAGGACTCGCTCAATTCAGTATTTCAAGTAAAATTTCGTAAAGAAATAGGTTAATTTTTAGTATTTAAAGTAAAAATTGTAGTAAAACCCTCAAGGGGGTTTTGAACACCCAAAACCACCCCAGTGTACACGTTCCTAAAATTTAATATTAGTGCACTTTTACCCCTTTTATTTTAAGGCTAATAATTATTATCAGATATTCTCTGAAACTATGTTTTAATTTCATTGACATATCACGGTGCTGTTCTGAGAGGTGATTTTTGGACTTTCTGTGAAACCTAATTTTTTTTATATTCTTGTTAATTAGGTCGTAACTAAAATTTTAAGAGCAAAATAAAAAAAATTTGACGGTTTGAATTGTTTTAATTGGCTGTTTATTAAAAATATTATGCACTCTTTCAATTATCCAATTAAAACTAGCTATTTAATTTAAATATTATCATAACTTTTTAAATCAGATTAAAGATTAGTTAATTTCCTAAAAAAAGGTCTATACATTTTTTATATCTTTTACTGTTTTGTTGTAATACACGTTTAAAGTTTTAATTTAAGCTTAAATGTATAGTATACATTTATTAAACAATAATTCTAAGGGTGCCACATTTTATTTAGGACCGATTTATTCATTTTTGATTTATTTGACGAATAATTTCTTTGGATACTAGATAATACCAAGACATGAAAGTTATCGGCCCGATAAACTTTACTAAAGATGAATAAATGAAATAAATTTCATGAATTTCTTCGTAACTTTTACTACAATTTTTCATTTTTGTTTATAAAAAACACTTTAAAAAACTAAACAAAAATTATAGAATACGTATACTGAAAATGACAATTCAAAAATCAAATAAATTTTTAATAGATCAAAGTTTCATGGCAACCTTTAAGGATATATTAATTAAGGGAACATAAATGTATACGTCAAAGGTTAAATTAAAAGTTTGAACGTTTATTGCAACAAAATAGTAAAATATATAAAAAAAATTGTAAAAAACTTTTTTTTAGTTATGCAAATATTAAATATTTAAATTAAATCGCTAGTTTTAATTGGATAATTGAAAGAGTGCATAATATTTTTAATAAACAGCCAATTAAAACAATTCAAACCGTCAAATTTTTTTTATTTTTCTCTTAAAATTTTAGTTATGACCTAATTAACAAGAATATAAAAAAAAATTAGGTTTCACAGAAAGTCCAAAAATCACCTCTCAGAACAGCACCGTGATATGGATTTCGCGTTTTGGGAGTAGGATAACGCTTTCGGCAACGCGTCGCGACATAACGACTAATTAGATGAGAGAAATTGGTGAACTAATTGGCGATAGTTAGCCAACTAATAATAACGGTCTTTGATGCCATTAATAATCTATCATAGGCACAACCAACGAATTGGCAAACTCCGAACCCGACAAGTTATGACAGATTGCAATATTAGTCGTAGGAAGGAATTTCATGCAGATATTTGAATATAAAAAAATCGTACAAATAAATGTTTAGTAATACTAGACATTTTTATTCGCTATAAACAATAATATTTAATACGCTATAATATTGGACAAAATTCATGTTTAAAAATAATATGAATTTTAAGTTTTAAGTATCAACTGCACTGATAATTTAATTAAATTTATTATAGCTAACATACATTCATGGATTGTTTTACTATTTAAATATAAAATAAACACAATGCACAAAATATGATATAAATAAGCAATATTTATTTATTATAAATGAAATCATCGGATTTATTTTAATTGTTAAAATTTGCTAGCTGCTTTATGTATAGTCAATCCAAATGAAAACACCAAAAATGAATATAAAAGTGCACTGCACAATTTTTTTTTATGAAAAAATTTGAGGGTGATCTTTTAGGTATCATATATGAAAAACCGTTGCCGTTTTAATTTTTAGTTGCTTTATTTTTAATCGGCACCCTTTAGAAACCTGAAATCGTGTCATTTTCTTATTCTCTTATAAGAGGCTAAAACTTTTTTTCTGTGGCAATTATTGAAATTATTGTAATTTTATTTTACTGCCTAGTAAGTATGTTTTCAATATTAATTATTATTATCCAATTAGTTCATCTCATAAAAGAATGGTAAACCACTAAAGATTTGTAATAATTTGCCAATTTTTGTGATTTTTGTCTGGCTCCTGTGCCTATTCTGCTAAATCTAGAAAGTTGCTTTTTTCAGTTATCAAGTACCTACTTATACAATAGAAAGCGTAACTATTATTTTAAGTTTCTAGACTATCATTTTCTTATTAAAAAAATTATTGAAACTTGATAATTTTTAAAATTAGGCAATTTTGCCCTCAGAAATCATTATGTTGGGGAAAAAATAAAAATCTGAAACTTTCAGGAAATGTAGTCCCCACCTTCATCTTTTTAGTCTAGTTAGTCTTGTTTTGTTATTTTTATCCATGTAAAAGATAATAATTTTTTTAATGCAGTTAAGAAGCAATATTGTTAGTTTTATTTATAATTTAAAATTTAGATGGCAATTCATGTTTGGTACAGAAATGTCAGAACTGTCAAAAATATTTTATAAATATTATTTGTGCGTACCTATTTAAATTGTTATTTCAAAAAGTTTGCAAGTATCACATATCATAATTTTGTACCTCTTTCTCATAGAAAATATTCAAGTTCTGAAAAGTTTTAAATTGTTAAAAATAAGCAAAAACCAAAAATATTCTAAATAAACCTATAACATGTTTTATTTTAACCAGTTACCTAAAAACTAAAATTTAAAGAAGTATTTACAGATTGTGTAAATTTTTTTCCAACACTAACATTTAAAATACATACATATAACTTTTAACAATTCAGTGCATTACTAAAGGTATCAAAATAATAGAACAAGACTAACTTGGTTTAAATTGTGAAAGATACCGACCAAAACTGCTTAACGCATTTTTTATACGTTTAAATTAACTCTTTATTAATTTCACTTATTATACTTTACCGAGTGGTAAACCACTGTTTTTTTTTAAATTAATAATCGCTTACGAATTAACGGCTAAGGATAACAATAACAAGGGTAGTCATGCAAAACGCGTCGCTAAGCACTGATTAAGCACCGATTAAGCAAGTTTTCCTTATTTATAACGACTGATAAGAAAAAAAATCTCAACACAACATTGAACGTTGGTTTCTAAGATTTTAAAGTGGTTTACCCCTCGTACTTTACGATATAAACCATAAGGATCTTGAATATATATTTTTACATTCTTCTTCTTTAAACACCAATTAGCCAATTAAATACTTCATTATAATGTATATAATATATAATCATATATGTATATATATATGTGATTATACATTAACTACCAAATATATCAGAACTGTCAAAAATATTTCATAATTATTATTTGTGGTATTCCTTTGGTGATTTTAAAAAGTTTTGTATAAAACATAATATTATATACAAAATTTACCAAAGAACCAAATAATATTTAAGAAATATTTTTGACAGTTCTGACACTTCTCCACCAAACATGAAACATCTAAATTTTAAATTATAAATAAAACTAACAATATTGCTACGAAACGGGCATTAAAGTAATTAATATATCTTTTAAAGGAATAAAAATAACAAAACAAGACTAACTGGACTGAAAAGATGAAGGTGGGGACTGCATTTCCTGAAAGTTTCAGATTTTTATTTTTTCCTCAACATAATGATTTTTGAGGGCAAAATTGACTAATTTTAAGAATTATCAAGTTTCAATATTTTTTTTAATAAAGAAAATGATAGTCTAGAAACTTAAAATAATAGTCTATTGTAAAAGTACTTGATACCTGCAAAAAGCAACTTTCTAGATTTAGCAGAATAGGCACAGGAGCCAGACAAAAATCACAAAAATTGGCAAATTATCATGAATCTTTAGTGGTTTACCATTCTTTTATGAGATTAACTATTTGGATAATATTAATTTATATCGAAAACACACTTACTGAACATTAAAACAAAATTAAAATCATTTCAATATTTGTCACAGAAAAAAAGTTTTGGCCCACTATAAGAGAGTAAGAAATTGACACGATTTCAGATTTCTAAAGGGTGCCGATTAAAAGTAAAGAATCCAAAAATTAAAACGGCAACGGATTTTCATATTTGGTACCTAAAAGATCATCCTCAATTTTTTTTATCAAAATAAAAAATCAAGCAGCGCACCCCTTTTGGTGTTTTTATTTGGAATGACTCTATATAAAGAGCAAAATTTATGAAAGTTTTTTCTTCCAGGGTTGAAAGGTCGTCAGACCAAGTAATAAAGCCAGTAAACCTCGAAGCGCTTACCAAATGGGTGGGCAACATTCCCGAGGATGTCGTCCGCGATATGGCGGACATCGCGCCCATGTTGTCCGTGCTGGGCTATGATCCGTACGCGAACCCGCCCAACTACGGGCACCCGGACGACCACGTGGCGCGCAAGACAAACGAGATCCTCAAAAACAAAACGGTGTGGGAGAAGAAGGCCAAAGAGATGTTCGACGGGTGGGATATGCACCTGGGCGGCGACACCAATTTAGACAAAGAGCCCAGTGACAATCCCAACAATACCACGTGATAAAACGTGTACACCATTAGGTGTTTTCAATTCAATTGCGTGTGGACCACGGAGGAGTGACGGGCTGTAGGGGGCGTAAAGTATTTTTTTCTAACACAAATGAAAACTTCTATATCAAAATAATGAATACATAATTCAATATAATTGATTACAAAATATTTGTTGAATCAGTCATATTTAAATATGTAATTATTAAATCAAACCTGTACGAAATGTGCAATATACATAAGTAAACATTTCTTTTAATAAGTGTGTGATCCATAAACTAGTTAGGAAATTAATTAACCTAAGTAACATTTATATTTATTTATTTTTCTTGAATTTTATAAATAAGTTGTGTCTTAAATTAAACATTATATCCGTTTTTATTGTAAATAAGTAAACGTAGAACCATAAAAAATATTTATCTTGCATATGTTGTATATGTTAAATAATGAAAATCGTTTTTTACTGTGTTGTTTTTTAATAATTAAATTTTTATGTTATCTGTTCTTCATAATTCAGCCTTAAAAATTGTTTTTATTAACTTTGTTGTAAATTGTATAACAATATGACTTTTTAAAATAAAGTATTTTATTATAAATATTGCAATTTTTATTTTATCAATATCAGTTTATAAATATAATATTTTTTATTTAATAACTTTTATAAAATTATTATATGGGAAAACATTATTTGTGATTTTTATTTTATGACAAAACAAACTACCCATTTTGTTTATTTTTTCCAAATATTTTTTAATTAATTAATAGAGTGTTAAGAAAACTTCCTAACAAAATACATTTGGAGTTTAAGTTTATAAAGTTGTCGCGAAGTCCAATAAATATTTAAAAAACGTGCACTTTAAAACTAGTTAGTGAAGCATTCGAAATACCTATAAAATAGTGTCTATTTGCTTGAAAAAGTTCGCAGTGCGAAATTTACCGTTCCGCCAGAACATACATTTATGTTTCGAATTTATGTTGTGGAATCACCGGTTTCAAAGAATAAAATCGAATGATTCCAATAAATGACCGATTTTCATATCATGATTGTAATTGCAATATATTTCGGTACATACAAACATTCGATTATAAATATACAATGTTAAAATCAGTTTGTCCAATTAAACTGCTTTGATATGCCCAATGTTTTAAAATAATTTACTAATCTTTTATTTGCTTTTTAGGTTGATTTCCTTTAGGGAGTAAAAAAACTTCCATGAAAAATAAGTAATCTGCTAAATCGAAAGGCCGTAAAATCCGAACATAAATAACAAAACTTTGCACATTTCTTTTAAAAACATTGTTCTTCAAAGTGGTATTTTACGATTTTCGTTTCGTTTTTTTATATCTCCATATGTCAATATAAAAAAGGGGCCATAAAGTTGGCCAATAAATAGTCCTGGCTGGCGACATGTTTTATGAAAAGTAGCTTTTCCATTGTAACAAAAACAAAATATATACAGGATGTTTAATATAGGTAATTTTATTTTGCCATACTGCTGGTTACAACGTTCCAGCATATCATCTAATTGTCAAAAAAACCTGTGGTAACTATATCATATTTTTTTTTATAAATGCCATATTATAGATTTGCTCAACGTATTAGAGTCATTTTATAAGTAATATGTTTTTATTCTTTACGTTATTTATTATTTAATTTTGGAAATAAACTATAGAACACTCAGTATCTTAAAGACAAGAAGAAAAAGCGGGGTAACGATAAGTGTCTCTCACAATTCACTTGTTTTTTGAATGTATCCAAGATAATTTGTCTCTTTGTCGAGTATAAATTTTCCCTTTTTACGAACTGAATATTTTATGTTCTTTACTTATAAAAGTTCTAACAGAATATAAAATAAAATTAGAGATTCGTTGTAAGATTGGTTTTTTTAAATTAATTAGTGATTTGGATTTAGAACACAAATTAATATTTTGATGTGAAAATATTAATGGATTATCATATATGATGCTGAACAATTTTTATTATGTCAAATAAAAGCAAATAAAGCATATGAAATGTTTTATTCTGCTTTAATTATTGGTTTAACCTAAAAATAATTTCATAAAATGTTTGTTAAATCCGTTTTTTGCAAACAAATTTTAATTATCATTGTATGTTACTTTACCTACTTTTTCCCAATATTTTTAATTTTGTATTTCGCTTTAAATTTTAATTAAATTGGTCTTTAAAATTATTTATTGAAAAAATGACATAATTACTTTATTTTTATTTGTATTTGATATTAAAATTTATATAGAGCTTTCCATGACAAATTAGCCGCGAAAAACTGACATGTATCCGATTTGTTTAATTCAGATTCCACAGTATAAACAATAGTGAGTTTATTTGTTTAAGAATATTTCCGAAATTAAACTGGAAAAGTTTTTAAAAAATTCCAAAATGTTTAATTAAAAGAAAATTAAAATTAGTAAATAAATTGATGTGTTGAAAAAACGCCATTTTTTTAAATTTTGATAAAAATATACTTATAGCCATAAAATTTGAGCGATATTTGGATATTTTAATTCTGCACACTCAGAAACTGCAGAAGTTATGAATTGGTTTTTTTCACGAATCAACGTCAATTTTCGACTTACCTGCCGGGACGTTAAAACACACGACTAAAATACTTTTCACAAATTAATAATTATAAATTCATAAAAAATTTTGCTTGTTTTTCCATTCCCATTATTTTTGCCCAGGGTGCTCAGAAAATAAGAGAACATGATCAATTTTCAAAAGAGAAGAAAAACGCCTGATTGTTTAAAAATGAGATTCCTTTAAAAAATTTGAATCAAATGTACAGGATACTCAAAAATTAAGAAATCATCATCATCAAAAATTAAGAAATCATCAAATAGCTTTAAAAGAGAAGTACCTACTTTTATTTATTATATTATATACAGAAAAAAATCTAACATAGTACCAAGAACAGCGCTGTCATTGAATGCATTAAAATTGAAGCAATCTAAATTGTTGTTTGCTCAATTAATTACTATTAAACCAAAATAGGGAAATATTTTGCCTAAATGTCAAAGAATTTATTGCGTTAAATGTATACATAATATACATACAATAGTAACGTTATTAAATAAATCAAATTAGTATTTAATGCAATAACATTGTACCATTCTAACAAATAAATATCAATATGAATATCAATAGATTTAGGATCGATAACTTTTGTTGTTAATTTAAAAACAGTAAACGATTATAAACCAAGTGCTAACTACCTATTGGTATTATAGGAACTGTTATTCAGGAATACGGATTACAAGATCCCATTGGTTTAATGGCTCACCCATTCATCATGAATGATTCATGCTATAGCATATATGCTAGAGTTTTTTCTGTGTAGAAAAATTGTATGAAATAAAGTCGTTGACAATTTAAAGTCTAAATACGAAACCACAAGAACTTGTATTTACCATTTAAATTTATTTATTTATTTTACAAAAATGTATTTGTACACGCTGAAACTAAATCTGAACTCAGTTTAGCCACTACACCTCTAATTTTTTTTACAGTGTGTCCCGAATCGTGTTGCCAATAGGAAAAAACTATACCAAAATCATTTGTCATAAAACTTCTGCTTATTTAAAAAATGATACTTTCATTTTTGTATCAGGATGCTCAGAAATTAAGAAAACATGCATATTCTTTAAGAGAGAAGTACCCTACGTCTTAGAAAAAAAATCCAGACCTTTAGGGGCTAAACAGAGTTCAGATTCGGTTTTAGCGGGCAAAAATACATAGGAATATCATGGTTTTATTTATGGCACAGACCACTTTTTTTGTGGGCCTGTGTTTTTAAATTTGAATTGCCACCAAACAATCTTCTATGACCTTTAATAACTAACTACTGACCTGGTCAATAACTAGCTAGTAACTAGTTAGTACCTTACTAGTCAGTAACTGGTTAGTATCTCGCCAGTAACTTGTCAGTAACTAGTTAGTTTTATTAGTGTATTAGTACCGACAGTTAAGTCAAAAGCTGCCGTCGATCAGTGGCCGATTTAACGCGCTTTCGTGAAGAAAAAAAATTATTACCTTTGCTCCTTAGTGTGCGCAAGAAAAGTGAATACTTAAAAGTTGCGCAAATGTTAGGGCTAAATATAGTATAATTTTTTTGAAATTATCAATTTATTTACTATTTTTTATATTTTCTTTTAATAACTCACTTCACTTTCATTGTTTATACTGTAAAATCCGTAAAAACGCTTAAAAAGTGATGAAATTTTAGATTTTTTCATTTTTTGGGTCCCACTATAGACCCTAAAAATTAAAAGCAAATCGAAGACATGTATCTTATAATATAAATAGTAAACCAATTTGATACGTCTTTAGTTAAAAGCCTAAGCATGCTTTCATAAAATTAAGATCCGGAATTAATTTATGTGATAAAGGAAGCCAGACTATTATGACAAAGTAAAGATAATTAGACAAGAGACTGATAATTATATTATTTCATATGTATTGCAAGCTTCGTCTTCTATGTTAATTATTAGACACGTACGTATCATATCTCGACATCCTTTAGCTAATATGAAATCAACAAAGGAATTATTATTTAATATTGAATAATATTATAATATATTACAGGATATTTTTAGTTTACAAATATAGGTATTATGGATTTTTAAATAAAAAACTATATTTAATAAAAAAGGCATACATTTTTTTATATTTTCAGTTTTCAGTTTTAGTCCCAAAGAACAATAAAAATGCTATATTATGGCTAACTTATAATATTAAAAAAACATAGTTCTGGACCAGAACTTCTGCAACAATAAAAAAGCAATCTGTGCCACCCCAAGTTTAGCTCGTATAAAAAGCCGTAAAACAATTAAAAGTTAATTTTTAAACTGGCAATTTTTATCCGATTTCTAAAATATTTTTTAATCTTTTCGTTACAAGTGTTAAAAAATTAATAAGTTACTAACAGAACGTCAGTTTGACAAAGAATGCATTATTTCGATGCTCTAGGCCAGCGGTTCTCAAACTTTTTTTTTCGCGTACCATTTATGTGCAATGTGGATAAATCGAGTACCACCGAACTAAATAAAACAAATTCTGCTGCGTGAAACAGAACCAATTTTTATAGTATTAAAACAACAATTTGTCAGAACAAAACAAAATACGTATGACTCGTCACGATTTTAAAACGAGCAGGGGATTACCCGTTTAATAAACACCAACAACAGTGTTGCCATTGACAATATAAAATGTGGGAAATGATAGATTTTCAATAAAATTGATAATTTTATTTGAAGGCAAGTACATCTATTATCTATTCGCGTACCACCTTTGGATGCCTCACGTACCATTTGTGGTACGCGTACCACAGTTTGAGAACCGCTGCTCTAGGCGATGCTAGTCTCCCCACGTTTTAATACGTAGGTACCCGAAAAAAAATGGGAGAACTTTCGTTATAATAGTACCGTTGATTGAGAACGGTAGTACTCCTGAATTTTATATAGATTATTTTGGTGACTATTTTGTAAGCAGTCAGACCAATTCAAACTTACGTTGTAGTAGTACCCACTCCTGAATGTTTTATATATTATTTGGGTGACCTTTTATAAGTGGTCAGAACAATCTAAAGGGCCTAACCCCCAGACACGATAGAAGGTAAGATCTATAATAGGTAAAAAGGTGTATACAGGGTGTCAAAAAATCATCGGTCTTAGGTAATAGAAATTTCAGGAGTACTTTTTTTCTCGAACTTTAAAGCGTCTGGCGGAAGTTAGGCCCCATGAAAAGCGTGTGGCAATAATGAATGTTGGTTTTTAATAATGTTGAGTAAAACATATACAGGGTGGCCCATCGAAAAGAGACCAGCAAGGTTTACGGCTTTGTAAGTGAAAATAAAAAAAAATCGGACCCGTATACGTTTTTTTTCAGGGGGACAAATTTACACATTAATGTTATTATTGTTACTTTAACCCCTTAGCGGGGGCAGCATCCCCCCTTATTTTTTCAAATGGGATGGGGTGTGTTGTGATAGAAAAAGCATTCAATTTTTTTTTAAATAGCGCTTCGTTTTTCAAATTTGAGCTACGCGTCGCCGAAGAACGGAATTCTAAACATTTTACTGGACAGCTTATTTAAAAATTTCGTAAAGCAAAAATTTGTTGAAAAAATTGTTTTTAAACTAACAAATAACAGTCTACAAATCGACATTATCTTCAGTAAAGTAGTGGATATTTCGTTATTCTTGTGCTTTTATTTTCTTTCAATTCGATAAAAAATGGTTTATTCTATTGCGGAGACAGTGGAAATTATTGAGAAACCGTAGAGAGAATTCTAAAACAGAATAAGTGGCACCCATATAAACTTCAACTTCTTCAAGAATTGCATGAAGATGATAATGACCGCCATATACAATTTTGTGGAATAATGTCCAAAATAATTATAAATACTCTCAACTACCTTTTTAATGTTGCTTCTCAGACTAATGTTATTTTTTTCTCAATGGCTTTGTTAATCGTCATAATTGTCGTTATTGGTCCGACACGAATCCAAGGATCTTCCATGAGGTTCATACTCAACATCCTTTTGGTGATCGCATAATTGGATCATTTTTCTTACCAAAAAATTTAAATGAAGCTACTTATTTAGACTTGTTGGAGAGTGCCATCAAGCCAGCGCTGATCGAAATTATGGAAAACCATGAAGAAAATCCGATATTTCAGCAAGAGGGGGCTCCTCCCCATTATGCATTATCTGTACGGCAGTTTCTGGATAAAACGTTTCCTGGTAGATAAATTGGGAGAAGGGGTGCTATTAGAGATGCCGTTAACAATAAATGTTAACAAATTTTGTTGACATTTAAATCCTGTGTTTGTAATATCATTATAAAATCTAAAAGATCGATGGGTTGGTGTAAACGATAATGAAATTAAGGTAAGTTTGAATAAATAAGGTTTATTAAAGTCTTTTTATATTTTAAAGCACATTTTAATTTTAAATGTCAAACTGACAATTTTTTAAATCCTAAAATTCATTATATTTTCTCACTAAAATTTAGTGACTAAATATACAGTAAACACGGGTGGCTTTGCACCTCGCGGGTGTCTTTAACCCTTTTATGAAAAATCTTTTCGCGCTCGATAAAATTAACATTTATAATTTGTTGGTCTAAACCTGTCAATTGAACGATTCTATAAGGAAGCCTGGGGTAAACAATGTAGGGGGCTATAAGAGAAAAATGAAATTACTTGAAAAAGGGCAACTTTGGTGATATGTTAAACAAATATTAGAAATATTCCCAACACCAAAACAAAACACAGTGCTTAAATCACTTTTAGCCAAAGATGTTGGCATCTTCAGAAGCGAAGTGTAACTAAATCCACCATATTTAATCTAAGGTTGGCTGAACCGTAAATGGACACAGTTTACTAAACCGTGGACCGTAACCGTTTCAGTAAACACGTAAAAAGTAACTATTTAAAGATTTATTTCTATTCTTTTGGATGTATAAACTTTCATAACTATCTGGCAGACTTGCTTTCCTAACTTCCTTAATAAGTTTAAGGTTGTCAAATTTTATTCTATGACCCTCATCAAGTATAGGCGTATTCAAGTTCACTTAAAATAAAAAATAAGAATAAAAAAATAAGAAATAAGGTCGCCATTGATCGTGCATGCTGATAACCTAAGAAATAAAAAATGTTACCATTTAAGTACATTAGATGCAAATTTTTAAAAAATATATATTTTATCCTAATTATGTATTATATGTTATATATATTTTATCCTATTTATTTACGCTACAGCATACCTTAATATCAGGGCCGGGCCTAAGGGGGGTGTAGGGGGGGGAGTTGAATGCAAAATATGATGCAAAAATCACGAGACCGCGTAGCGGTCTAGGGGTTTTATTTTTAATTATTTTGCATGAAACTATTTTCCAAAAAGAAAAATCAAATAAAAAACTTACTGAGCATAGTTTGACAGATTAAATTTATAGGTTGAGTGATATACCGTATATCATATACGTCTAGATTATTTCTCGAATTAAAGGAAACTATTTGACAATTCATAAAATCTGACGTATGTGTCAAAATTTATAAAAATGTTTGTTAAAACTTGTAAATAACACCATAAAATCGTAAACAAAAATCCAATATGGAGGCTAAAATTTAATCGCTGTTAAATAGTTCTAATGAGGGAAATAATCTATTGTAAGTTACAATTTGTAACCTCCTATAATCGTTACCGTCAAGAAAATTGTATTGGTCAACCTTATTTTTATTAAAGGACATTATATATTTCACACAAGCGGCATGTACAAAGTCGGCACCGCCTCGCGGATTTGTCTTTGGTTTTGGCGGCGTTTGACTCTTTTTACGCACCGCAATTTTCGGCGTCTTATTTTTCTAAATTATTAATTAGTTGAAGCTTATCTAAGCTAAGTAAAACTAGTGTCAATAAATAGGAATTAATTTTTTTTTAATATGGAAAAGAAAGCTAGACCGGGCCGAGTTCTAGTAAAATGCTCATGTGTGATGTGGATCTGTGTTTAACAAGGACTAGAAAAAAATGCACGAGGAAAATATTCACGGTGGAAATTTGGTTAAAATTAAAATTGTTACTGTTCCGGATAATCCACTTACATTGGTAGCAAATAAAAAAAATAGAGACTTCAAAAGAGCATGCTAATGGTAGGTAAAGACATTCTTTATCTACAGTTTACAACACTTTACATTCATGATAAAACTACTGAAAATTTTTACTATTACTAATAAAGTATCGATAAAAAATAAGTTGGTTTTTTTATCGTCCCCACCCCCCCAAAAAAGTGTGCCTCGGTACGCCCCTGCTTAATATTTGTAGAATAAAATTCATTTAAAAACTTAACGCAGATGCAAAACTGGGTATTTGTTTCTTCCTGTCGGATGCAAAACTCGGTATTTGCTGTTGCCAATCACGTCGCTAGTATACGCATTAGGTGACGACATAACAATCACCTGATTAATTGTTATTTTTTGGTATTTGCACTTTTCACTTGCAAAACTTGGTCTTTGAACGTTTTTAAATCTTTTCATTTTAATTATTTACTAAACTACCTAATTTTAAAGGATTTGTTCAAACTTTTTCGAATAAAAATGATGCAATTTTTGCAATTTTCAAAAATGATCTTATGAGCGGTTTTTCATGTTTTTCTTAAAATCACTTATCCTGCAAATACAGAGTTGTGCATGTAATGTAGTCATTTATTTGCGGGAGGTGTAATCAAAGTGTTCTTTGGGTGTAATGACGGCAGTTATCTCTATTTTAGTTGTTATTGATGAAAATCAGTTTTATACGCAAAAATAAGAACCAAAGTTAAACGTTATTTATCTTTAGTCTTATTTTTTATTTTCATGAACATGAACGCAACCATTATAACAGTGTCAAGATTGTGGCAAGAAATATGTTGGTCAAACTAAACGATCCATCCAAGTAAGGTTCAAAGAGCACTTGGCCCATGCTAGATTTGGTAGGACAGAGAAATCGGGTGTTACCCAACATATAAGGCGTATTCAATGAATACTGTAACGTTTTTAACTGTTCGTAGTGTGAATTAAAACACGCACTGGTTAATTAACGAACTAAACTATTTATTTAATAACTTAACTACACTTAAAACACTATAAAACTAAACACTTAACTAATAATTATTTATATCACTACTAGTTTATTTATTTGCACTTATATTTATTTATTTCTTCGCGAGTACCAAAGCTCAACTGACTCGATTATTCGAGCGCTGAGTCACCGGCGATGACTCACCGGCAATGACTAATCGGCGATGAGTCATCACTCCGATATCCAGGGCGGTACTCGCTACATTGCCCCCGTCTTAAAACATTTTCGTCCCGAAAATGGTCCTCAGCTCCATGGCGATATTTGCATAGAGATCCAAACTTGCATTGTGACGTCCTATAGAAGTAGCAGTCTACGGTCTTCCTTCCGGTTGTTCTTTTAGGGTTGTGGCAACAGACAAGAATGTGTATGCCACTAAATCTGAAGATAACTTCCACCATACTTCTAATTATTCTCCAGTCTAAACCGTCAAGTCCACAAGCAATCTTCGGTATCGCCAGGTTCATGATGTCCTTGGATAAAAGGGCATCCCTCAATTTATTTAAGGCATTCCATACGTCACGGTAGTTTGGCTTCTGATGGGAGAGTTGCTTCATTACCAGATAGAAGATACTTCTATTGCCTATCTGCTCATTATTCACAATTTCAAGCACCTCTCCAACTTTGGGATTCTGCCTTCGTAGCTCGTCGATCCGTCCAAACTTGTTTTTAAAAACAACCGCTATTCCCCTGGACATCCTTAGGTCTTCTGCAACACAGTGAGCCAAGGAGTAATCGGCCGAAACCGTGAACAGATCTTGTTGTTCTTCTCGAGTGACACCAAAGCGAGCTTTTTTACCGCTCGAATATAAATACATGAAGTCTCCAAAAAGCAACTCGTCTTCCGGAGGATTAACTCGTCTTACTCTAGCATGGTTTATTTGGTCATCATTGTTTCCAGCGTAAGGAGCCAATCGGTTAAAATGGATCACTTTCGGCTTTCCTCTTGGTTGTTTTCTGATCCTGTAGATGATGTCATTTATGCGATCCATTACTTCGTATGGTCCTTCCCAAGAAGTCTGCAGCTTCGGTGAATAACAACGACGGCGCTGAGGGTTGTATAACCAAACTAGGTCTCCAGGTTGAAATCCTCCATTTTCCGCCTTGATGTCGTATGCCTCTTTCATTCTATCACTGGCACTTTGGATGTTTAAACGAACTCGGCTGTGAATGTCGCTCATTTTGCTACGTAAATTGCTAACGTAATCTTCTCCAGCAACATCTTCCCCTGGTAGGCAACCAAACCTCAGGTCACAAGGTAGACGAAGTTCACGTCCCATAACAATGCTAGAGGGTGTCTGGCCGGTTGTAACATGGATAGAAGAACGGTACGCCAACAGGAACAGATGGAGGAAGTGGTCCCAGTCTCTTTGGTGATCAGAGACTACCTTGGACAGGTACCGGTTTATCGTTCGATTCATTCGTTCCACCATTCCATCAGACTGCGGATGTAATGCGGTCGTAGATTCAAAGTTCCTGCCTTGGTCTGAATGCATCTCCATTGGCACACCAAAACGACAAATCCACTCCTTAATAAGGGCATCGGCCACTGTGGCAGCTTCCTGGTTTGGCAAGGCGTACGCTTCCGCCCACTTGCTGAAGTAATCCATTACAACGATGATGTATTTATTTCCAGACTCTGTTTCCGGAAATGGACCCGCCACATCGATTGCAATTCTCTCAAATGGGCTGCCCACATTGTACTGTCGCATTGGGGCTTTTGGGCGCTTCTGGGGTCGATTGCTTGCCGCGCAAACGGCGCACTTCTTGCACCATTCCTTCACATCTCGTTGGCTGTTGACCCAATAAAACCGTTCCCTAAGTCTTCCGAGCGTCCTGGTCACCCCAAGATGTCCTCCTGTAGTTCCATCATGGATTTCCTGCAGCACTTCTGGTATCCTGTTTCTGGGGATTATTATCTGCTTCCGGTCTTCCACCCCTTCTGGAGTCTCCAGCACGCGCTTTAGAAGCCCTTCACTTAAGATGATGGAATTCCATCGGGCCCAGTACGATTTCACATTTGGCGAATATTGGGCAACTTCTTGCCACGTTGGTTTACAGTCGTTCTTCTTCCAATCGATGATGAGCTTCAAATCCGGGTCCCTTTCCTGGTCTTGTTGAACCTCAGCAGTTTGCC